CCCCCGGTGACACGCAGGGGACACGCGTGTCCCAGGCCGCCGTGGGAGGGGACACACGTGGTCCCGGGGCACACGGGACGGGACACGCGTGTCCCTGCCGTGACATGGGGCGTGGCCCCAGGGTCACATGGACGGGACACGCGTGTGACCATAGGGGACATGGATGGGACACACGTGTGACCATAGGGGACATGGATGGGACACGCATGTGACCTTGGGGACATGGATGGGACACACGTGTGACCTTGGGGACACAGGCCACACGTGTCCCTGGGGACATAGACAGGACACACGTGTGTCCCTGGAGGACATGGATGGGACACACGTGACCCTGAGGACACGGATGAGACACGCGTGTGACCCTGGGGACACAGACAGGACACACGTGTGTCCCTGGAGGACATGGATGGGACACACGTGACCCTGAGGACATGGACAGGACACACGTGTGTCCCTGGAGGACATGGATGGGACACACGTGTCACCCTGTGGGACACGGGATGGGACACACGTGACCCTGGGGACACGGACGGGACACGCGTGTCCTTTCCGCGCATCCCCTCCACGTGTCCACGCGTGTCCACACGTGTCCCCACGTGTCCCCACGTCCCCTCCACGTGTCCACACGTGTCCCCACGTCTCTTCCACGTCCCCTCCACGTGTTCCCACGTCACCTCCACGTGTCCTCACGTGTCCACACGTGTCCCCACGTGTTCCCACGTCCCCTCCACGTGTCCACGCGTGTCCCCGCGTGTCCCTCACAGGAAGTAGTCGGCCACGGGCTTCTTGGCGGGGATGCCGCGCGTCTCCTGCGGCGCCGCCTCGAAGATGATGAACTCCTTCTGCAGGTGCTCGTCCAGCTCCAAGATGGCCGCCACGTTGCCGCACCTGCCGCGGGGACGGCGGGTGTCACCCGGACGCGGGGGTATCACCCGGACGCGGGGGTGTCACCCGGCCCCGCGCTTGTCATTGTCACCCCGCCCCGGGTGGACGTGGTTCAGGGGTCCCCATCTGTGGTTGTGTCACCCGGTGGGGTGACACCCTGTTGGTGTCACCCGGTCTCCCCGTTGGGGGAACGTGGCCACCCCCTTCATCCTCATCGCGGTGTCACCTCCACCCCCATCACGGTGTCACCTTCATCCCCTTCTCCATCCAAGTGTCACCTTCATCCTCATCACGGTGTCGCCTCCGTCCCCATCATGGTGCCACCTCCACCCCCTTCTCCATCCAAGTGTCACCTTCCTCCTCATCACAGTGTCATCTCCATCCTCATCCTCGTGTCACCTTCCTCCCCATCATGGTGTCACCTCCATCCCCTTCTCCATCCAAATGTCACCTTCCTCCCCATCATGGTGTCGCCTCCATCTTCACCCTGGTGTCACCTCCGTCCCCATCATGGTGTCACCTCCACCCCCTTCTCCATCCGAGTGTCACCTTCCTCCTCATTACGGTGTTGCCTCCATCCTCACCCTGGTGTCACCTCCCCCCCTTTCTCCACCCAAATGTCACCTTCATCCCCATCATGGTGTCACCTTCATCTTTACCCTTGTGTCACCTTCCTCCTCATCACGGTGTCACCTCCATCCTCACCCTGGTGTCACCTTCATCCCCATCACGGTGTTGCCTCCGTCCTCACCCTGGTGTCACCTTCATCCCCATCACGGTGTCACCTCCATCCTCACCCTGGTGTCACCTTCATCCCCATCATGGTGCCACCTCCACCTCCTTCTCCATCCAAGTGTCACCTTCCTCCTCATCACGGTGTCGCCTCCATCCTCACCCTCGTGTCACCTCCACCCCCTTTTCCACCCAAACGCCACCTCCGTCCCCACCACGGTGCCGCCTCCACGCTCCCCCTGGTGTCACCTCCACACCCACCGGTAGCAGTAGTTGGGGGCGGACCACACGGTGAGGACGCTCTCGCCGAAGTGCCACTTGTAGCCCTCCATGACGAGCTGGTGCGCGCGGCAGATCATGTCGATGTCGTTGGCCGCGTTGAACTGCGCCACCACATCGCTGCCGAAGAGGTAGCCGGCGCCGCGCGGGGACACGCCCCAGCCCGTGGTGTCTGCGGGGACAACGGGGGACAACGGGTGACAACGGGTGACAACGGGCTGACAGTGTGGGTGACAACGGGGTGACAGTGTAGGTGAGACCTCCGCGACACGCCCCAGCCCGTGGTGTCTGCGGGGACAACGGGGGACAACGGGTGACAACGGGGGTGACACCTCCGCGACACACCCCAGCCCGTGGTGTCTGCGGGGACAACGGGGGACAACGGGTGACA